AGTGTGAAACGGGCAACAAAAGGAGCAGCAGCTATCTTAAACCTAGACATCTACAAAGTAGTCAGCCGGATACCAGCAACTGATAGAGCAGCGGAGCACAAAATCTGAACTTCAGAAGTCTGCTCTGCTGAGAGACGTCGCTCCAGTGGCTAAGTGGGGGGTGGAACCCTCACTGGGACAGTGTGGTCTCAGGACCCTCGGGGTCACAGAAAGACCTGGGGTGCCTCAGTGCGGCAGAGCTCCCAGGTATCGAAGCAGGGAAGCCGGCTGCAGAGACGGAGCCGAGGAGTGGGCTCTCAGCTCGGGGTTGCCATAAACCCCGTATTCCGTGGCACAGTCGGACCACTGTTCTTCCAGCAGGGACCCAACAAGCAGCAGATCCAGGGAGACTCCCCTTCCTCCCCCGGGAGGCACGGCAGCACACCACAGGAATCTGCTCGGTTTGAGACTCCAAATGGGGTCGTGTGCCTGAGATAGAAACACTCGGTCACAGGCCGGGTGAACACGGAGTGCGGCCAGAGACCGAGGAGACAGGAGTGATTGACTGCTTTTCTCTGAGGGAGCACTGAGCAGTGGGGCCCCAAGCTTTTGGCTCCAGGGTCAGAGATTGGGAGGCTGCCAATTTCATTCTCATCCTTTAAAGCTGCTTGGAAAGCCTGCAGGGAACAAAAGCCACATACAGCAAACCCAAGCAGATTACTTAGCCTGGCCCCTGGCAAGGGCAATGTAATTCCACCAGGGGCAAAGACATTTGAGAATCAACCCAACAGGCCCCTCCCCCAGAAGATCAGCAAGAACATCCAGCCAAGACCATGTTTACCCATCAATGAGAATGGCAAAACCCCAGCACTAGGGGAATACAGCACATAGAATTCATGGCTTTTCAAAATATGGAAAAGAGCCCAGATGTCCATCGACAGATGAATGGATAAAGAAGATGTGGGGTGTATATATGTGTGTGTGTGTGTATATATATATATACACACACATACAATGGAATATTACTCAGCCATTGAAAAAAAACGAAATCTTGCCATTTGCTACGACATGGATGGAACTAGAGCGGATTATGCTAAGCGAAATAAGTCAATCAGAGAAAGATAATTATCATAGGATCTCACTGATAATGTGGAATTTAAGAAACAAGACAGAGGATCATAGGGGAAGAGAGGAAACAATGAAACAAGAAGAAACCAGAGAGGGAGACAAACCATAAGAGACTCAATCTCAGGAAACAAACTGAGGGTTGCTGGAGTGGTGGGGGGGGGGGGGGAGGGGGGTGGCTGGGTGATGGACACTGGGGAAGGTATGTGCTATGGTGAGCAATGGGTGTTGTGTAAGACTGATGAATCACAGACTGGTACCCGTTAAACAAATAATACATTATATGTTAATATAAAAATAATAATAAAAAATAATAATCCTGATACTTTAGACATCCAAAAAGTGCTTTTCCAAACTTACTAGTAAAAAACCAAAAATATTTAACAGCATTTTATCATTTGCTTAATGTTGATATGCACTAAATCTCTAAACATTTAAGCTGCTTTATTTTTCTTTAGTAAAACGTTGTGCTTTATCCATCATAAATACTGCCCTGAAAATGTTTTAATGGATAAAATTATCAATAGCCATGTTATAATGGAAATGATGACAGATCATTTATTTTTAAAAAGGCAGGAGAATAAAGGACTAATCTTATTATCATAATGGATCCATTTTCTTGTACTGAATCAGGTATTACTCTGGGATTGAGTTTTAGACTATTTTACCTAACTCCAAAACAGAAAACATATCTCACTGAGTTATTATTGTCCCAGTTATAGCAATTGGATTAACCCATTTTTGACTGTTGAATATTCTCCAAATTCGATGAAATAACACAATAAGGAAATGTCTGGGTTCTTATGACCCCAAATGCCACCCTCACCCCAAGCTCCAACGTGTTGGTTAACACAAGAGAAAAGGGAAGACAGCCAAAGGCAATGCAAAAAGGATAAAAGAAAACACGCCTCACTATTCCCAAAGCCATGTCCTGCAAGGAATACAGTGATGATCACAAATAAAAAGAAATACAAAATGTTGGCAAAGTTGGGGCAAAGAGAAGAGAGAAAAAGGTGGGCATTAAATTGACAATATAATTGGTATGTCTCCAAAACAAACAATGGGTCCTGGTCTACTGGCTGACCTTAATCAATGCATATGAGTCTGCGTACAAAACAGACCTGCACTTTCCAACTATGCAAACGGTTAACAGTTAGCTGGCTACTAGCCTATTGCTATACAAACAAAACCTACCACTTTATATTTGAGGCACTGCTATCATGTCCCAGAGGCTCCTGAAACCCAAACCAAAAACATCACCTCTCTTCCCCTCAATTAGCTGCTCCTCTTCCTATATTGTTAAATATTTACCAGTATCCATCTAATCTTCTAGCATGTCTTCAAACTAGTAATTTATTGTTTAAAAAAAAATAATAGTATCTATTTCCATTTCTTTGTCATTTTAAATCAATATATAAATATTCATTTATGTATGTTCGTATTTTAAAATGGAGCACTTTGGGAGCCCCCAAATGAATATCAAAGTGAACATGCTTGATAATGGATGCAGAAAAATGTGCCATTACTTTTGTCTTTTCAACAAATGGTGCTAGAACAGTTGGCTATCCATTTGAAAAAAAAAACTGAACTTCAATCTATACCTTGCACTAAATACAAAATTAATTCAAACTGGATCCCAGATAGAAGTATAAAATCTAAAACTAAAATACGAAGAGAAAACCTTGTTGACCTTGGATTAGGCAAAGATTTCTTATTCTTAGGCTCAGTACCAAAAGCACAATCCATAAAAGAACAAATTGAAAAACTGGACTTTATCAAAATTAAAACCTTCTGCTCTATCAAAGACACTGTTAAGAGAAAAGACAAGTCAAAGACTGGGGAAAAAACATTTTCAAATCACATATCTAATAAAGAACTTGTATCGAGAATATATACAGAACTCTCGGGGCACCTAGGTGGCTCAGTCGTTAAGCATCTGCCTTCAGCTCAGGTCATGATCCCAGGGTCCTTGATCGAGCCCCACATCAGGCTCCCTGCTCTGCGGGGAAGCCTGCTTCTCCCTCTCCCTCTCCTGCTCCCCCTGCTTGTGTTCCCTCTCTGGCTGTCTCTGTCAAATAAACAAAATCTTAAAAAAAAAAAAAAAAAAAAGAATATAGATATACAGAACTCTCAAAACTCAGTAATAAAAACCACCCAGTAAAAAAAACAGACAAAAGACTTAAACAGACATTTCAACAAGAAACATATATAGATATGCAAATAAGTACATGAAAAAGTGCTCAACATCCATAGTCACTAGGGAAATGCAAATTTAAAACACAGTGTATACCTCTACACACCTATTAGACTGCCTAAAACTGACCAAACCAAGCGCTGGCAAGGATGTGGAGAAACTAGAACATTCATACACGGCTGGCTGAATGTAAAATGGAACAACCGTGTTGGAAAATAGATTGGCAATTTTTTAAAAAGTTAAACATACAACTACCATATAATCCAGCCATTCCACTCCTAGACATTTACCCAAGAGAAAGGAGGGCATGTGTCCACACAAAGACTTATATACAAATGTTTATATATCAGTTTTATTTTTATGAATGAAAACCCTTAAACAATCCAAATATCCATCAACAGGTGAATGGATGAACAAATAGTGGCACATTCATACAATGGAATACTACCCAGAAATAAAAAGGAACAAACTACTGATATATACTACAACATGGATGACTCTAAAAATAACTCAGCTGAATAAAAGAAGCTAGGCAAAAAAGCATACTGCATGCTTTAATTTATATAAAACTCTAGAAATACAAACTATTTTTTAGTGAAACAAACTAGGAGACAAGAGGAAGGATTACAAAGGAGCACTAGGAAACTTCAGGGGTAATATGTTCAGTGTGGTATGTCACAGCTGTGTATGCATGTATCAAAATTCATCAAACTGCACCCTTTAAATACGTGCAATTTATTGTATGTCAATTATATCTCAATAAATTATTAAAATTGTTAAGAAAAAGTAAATTTTCTCTGTTCTTTATAAGATTTCTTAAGAAACGATAAAAACTACGAAATATTAGCACTTGCCTAAAAAAGAAAATGAAAAATTAAAATTAGGGGGCACCTGGGTGGCTCAGTAGGTGGAGCATGCGACTCTTGATGTTGGGGTTGTAAGTTCAAGTCCCATGTTGGATGCAGAGATTACTTTAAAAAAAAATCTCAGGGACGCCTGGGTGGCTCAATGAGTTAAGCGTCTGCCTTCGGCTCAGGTCATGATCTCAGAGTCCTGGGATGGAGCTCCGTGTGGGTCTCTCTGATTAGCAGGACCTCTGCTTCTCCCTCTCATTCTCCCTCTGTGTTCTCCCCTTCTCTCTCTCAAATAAATACAATTTTTTTAAAAATTAAAAAAAATTAAAATCTTAAAAAAAATTTTTTTAATTAGGTCCAATGGATTCTGAGGGTATACCAATGGTTAGAACACATCAAACATAAAACAAATATATACACACACACCACCATGATTTTATAATCCTTTAAAAGAAATTTATGACTTTAGGAGAATGTTAGGGAATCAACTCATTTTTTGAACATTGGTATATGAAGAGGAACAATTAAGCACTGTTATGCCTTTCCTATGACCCTACCTCTGGGTAACCAAATAGTGTATTCGAGGGTCTCTTTATAGCTAATAAGTGAAACAATTAGAATGTGATCATTTGAACCCCTACTGAATCAACAAATGTAGGTATGGCATATATACGGCTGCTAATTTCACAAAAAGAGATAACCATATATATACTTCCTGATCAAAGAATATACCATTGTCTATAATAATCCCACCAAATTTTTTTTCAAAATAAACTCAAACGAAGTCTGATCATATCTCTAAGTCCAACTAATTTACTGGAAATAGAGGACAGAGAATACATTTTTACCTTTAATTTTTATGAAAGATACTTGGGACATCAACCAGTTGCAATGTACAATGTTGACTGAAAATACAACTTTAAAATCTATAAACAAACAAAAAAATAAATAAATAAAATAAAATAAACTATATAAACAAAAAACTTCTCAGATCACTGGAAATCTGAACGCTAATTAGACATTCAATTCCCTACTAAGGAATTATTGTTTGTTTTTAGATGTGATAACAACATTATAGTTACATTTAAAAAAGCAGAGAGAAAAAAAAGACCTTGTCTTTTAAAGACACATACTAATGTATTTATAAATTACATGTTATGATTCTGGAATCTATTTCCAAATAATACAAGAACGGAGAAGTGAGTGGGAATACAAAAGAAGTAACACTGGGGGGCGCCTGGGTGGCTCAGCCGTTAAGCGTCTGCCTTCGGCTCAGGTCATGATCCCAGAGTCCTCGGATAGAGCCCCACATCAGGCTCTCTGCTCGGCCGGGAGCCTGCTTCTCCCTTTCCCACTCCCCCTGCTTGTGCTCCCTCTCTAGCTGTCTCTCTCTCTCTCTGTCAAATAAATAAATAAAATCTTTAAAAAAAAGAAAGAAAAACATGATCAATTACATTGAGTCTTAGTGTCAAAAAATTAAACAAAAACAGGGAAAGTAAAACATCTGACCTGGTCTTGAAGAAACAAAATTAGAATAATTCCTCAATAATCATTCTAATAGTAAAAGCAGAAAATCTTTCAAAGGTGTTCCTCAAAGGGTCCCTCCTCAATGCAAGTCAAGAACCTAACATAAGGCACACCTCAGAGGAAGAAATCCTACAAACTAGTCTTTTACTGCTAGTACACAAGGAAAAGCAGTCTTCATCACTTACTGTCTGGGTCTAATGGACTTTTTAAAAATATATACATTTTAAGTCATTTTAGAAAAAAAATTTCACGAGAAGGAAGACAGTGAAAAACAACTTTATTAGAATTTTTAGTAAGTACTGAAGTTCAATAAATCCAAATATTCATTGCACATTTCCCAGGTTTTTAAGTTACAAAGAACCAAAATGAGCCACATTCTCTGAATACCACTGTTCACTGTCAGGAATAAATGTGGAATATATCCATCATATAAATCCGACTCTTGATTTTTTTTAACACATCTTCTAATAGCTTCTAACTTATTACTTCTGGTTCTTTTTCTAGCAACTGCATTATCAAAATTCAATACTTCGAACCCTGAAATTTTGAAAACTTTTAATGGCTCATAATTTGGACAGGCATCTTCTTTGATCCATAATTTGCAAAACACTGTCATTTTTAGATTTATAAAATTATTTAGAATAAACAATCCAATTAATCTGTTTCATTTCTACACCTATTGCCTTCTAATCGCCTTTGTTTACACACACCCATTTTCAGCAATGTCCACTTAGAAGCTGTATCCAGTCAATTTTAAAGCAAAAACATGAAAGAATACCAGCATAAAGATGGTGTCTCCAATCTCCTTTTACCTTTCCTGAAAGATGACATAATCTTTTAAAAACAATGCAATATGAAGACTCTAGGATAATGCAATGGTAACTAAGGTGCACAGGCCAAATTTGGCCCACAACCTATTTTCATATGACCTGTGAGCTAAGAATAGTTTTTACATTTTTAAAGGGTTATTTAAAAAATATGCTACAGAGACCATATGTGGCCCACAAAGCTTAAAATATATACTATCTTACCCTTTACAAAAACCTATGCCAAGGGCACCTAGGTGGCTCAGTTAGTTAAGCGTCTGCTTTCGGCTCAGGTCATGATCCCAGGATCAAGCCCCACATCAGGCCCCTTGCTCAGTGGGAAGTGTGCTTCTCCCTCTCTTTTTGACACTCCCCCCCACTCCCCGCTCATGCTCACTCTCTCTCAAATATATAAAATATATATATTTTTAAAAAGTTTGCCAACCTCTGCTCTAAGCTCGTCATTCTTCCATTTTCTTATTATTTCAAACTTTTTTTTTGCAAGGTTGAGAGCAATTGATGAGTAATGATGAAATAATTCCTTGGATGAAATAGCAAAATGTTTCACAATATAGAAAAAATAAGATTACTGGTATCATCAAATGCATCTTAGATTTGTAAGATGGTCTAGTAGACCCATATGGTAATTGATTGCAAGATAGAATGACTTTTAAAAATATACAAGGGGCACCTGGGTGGCTCAGTTGTTAAGCATCTGCCTTCAGCTCAGGTCATGATCCCAGGGTCCTGGGATTGAGCCCTGCATCGGGCTTCCTCTCAGCAGGAAGCCTGCTTCTCCCTCTCCCACTCCCCCTGCTTGTGTTCCCTCTCTCCCTGTGTCTCTCTCTGTCAAATAAATAAAATCTTAATAATAAAATAAAATAAAATGTTATCATATAATGTTAGTCATATACACAGTCTACATATATGTGTGTGTATGTATAAA